CTGTTCGTTTTAGTTTTAGTGAGTTTCAAGGCGCTTGCAACACAATTAGGTCAAATAAGTGCCGAAGATTAGAGGTGTTATAAGAGAGTAACAAACATAAAAAGGAGAGATTAAAAACGACAGATGCTTGATAGGAAAGGAGGAGCGAACCACACCTGAGCACCTGCCAACCAACCATCTGCGAACTGTTCTTGAAATCTGCCTTGACTGCACATCTGTAACAGACGTTAGCTCTTGTGTAAAATCTAGGCTATCTTCATATCGTCGTAGACAGCCATGGATGAAAGGACATACCCGTACCTGCTTAGGTGCATTTCTTGCCTGTTTCTCTGTGTGCACATCACGAAAACTGCAGGGGGAGAAGGTTAAATTGTTTTTGTTATTAAAATTTGTTTTTGTTATTTGATTGTTGTGATTTTTGTTTTTTTGTTGTTGTTTTCTTTTGTTGTTGTTGTTTTGTTGTTTGTTTGTTTGTTTGTTGTTGTTTTTTTGGGGGGGTCATACCAAGTATGCATGACTCCTAATTTTGTTACTTTTGTTGCTGTTGATGCCCTTGCTTAGTATGGTGGCTGTGGTCGTTGCATAAGTTCATTGCTCTCTTTGTGTTCCTTTGTCACCATTGTTATTGACAGTGTTTTTGTTGTTGTTGTTGTTGTTATTGCCGCCGCTGCTGCTGCTGCTGTCATTACTGTCGTCGTTATTGTCGTCGTGATCGTCGTCGTCGTCTTCATCGTACTTTCCCCCCCCCCCCAACCCCCTCTCCTCCAGCTCTCGAATCTGAAAAGCGATAAAGGGACATAGGCCTAGCTCACAAATCCTTATCTGCACCGCAAATCTGAAGACCAAGACAAGGTTGAGTGTAGCTTTAAAGAGATCTGTAGACTATGTCCTCGTTATGAAACCGCCACTTTTAAAAAGCCGAGAAAAAAAACCACGTCCCAAAAAGGGAGCAGCGGAAACAGCAAATTTATTCAACGACCTGCGTTTGATTCATTCCCAGATTGCGCCTTCGGCCAAGCGTTGATTCACCGCCACAGCCTGGGGAGATTTGGAAACTTGTGTTTCTGAAACAAGACACTCTCTCACATTTACCTCGCCCCAAGGGGCCGCCATAAAGGTCCAAACTCGTGTCTGTTGTACCATTGGAGACGGTATCAACAGCGCCTCAAGGGGAAAAGCTCTCCAATTGACGTCATCAAATTTGGGACCTTTTTCTACTGACGCATCCATCCGAATGGTAAGTTGTTGTTTGTTTTTTTTCCATTCTCCTATTCTGAACACTTTCTTTTTTAATATAGATCTAATTCAAAATATTATGCATGTACTTTACATTTAATCACAAAAAAATGAAAGGCGTAAACTCATGAAAAGTAGACAAAAGAAAACGTTAAAACTGCAAACCAGTCCAGATGATCTAGCAACTCGTGACTTGAGGAAAGAATAAGGGAAAGGGTGGGGAGGGAGGACGTCTGTGTTGTTTGATTTTTGGAACGGAGCAGAACGAGAAAGTTGCGGCCTTGGAATAGACATAAAAGTTAGGAGCAAAGCCAATCCTAGGTGATCATAGTCCACCTCTGCGAAAGTTTGTGTATGTGTCCATTAAGGATGCCAATCAGTATCGGGGGCCCTTGAAGTCAGTGTTAGAGGGTCAGTTACTAACACTTTTGCCTTGACTTTCAAGGCCATTTCGGGCCGCTTGCAAGGCCATTTGAGGCTATTACGAACTTGAAATCCGTTGCATAAATGACTGCTACAAAATAAGATTTACATTTAGTCTGCCAACCCGGATACTGTGAAACTGAAACATTCACCACTTAAGTTAATCTATGTGGTTGTACACATTGTGGCGAGTGTCTGT